TTGCTGACTGTCAATGAGCACCCCCGCACTTTCAAATTATCCCCTCCCTTCCATGCTGTATTATAATCCCCTCTGTCTCCTAGCATTCTGGCTCCATTCCCCATAACAAAGTTGCCCTTTCCCAGGAGGCCATAATAACCCCCCCCCACCAATTTATATTTACTGGTTGGACCCACAGTGCTGACCATGGCCCATTCACCCAATTGTACGGACCTTCTGACACGAACCATTCCAACCGTTCAATTGACCATGCCCAAACCTGTGGACTTATATAGATCTGCCTTGACTTATATTTTCCCCATATCCTTTCAGACTATTTCTGTCTAAATACATCATCCAATGTCTTCTTGAATGCCTCAACTAAACTTGCATTCACCACACTTCCAGACAGTGCATCTTATATCCTAACTACTTGCTGTGTGAAAAAGATCTTTTGCCACATCGAATTTGCTTCACTTGCACATCACTTTAAATCTGTACCCTCTTGTTCTTGTTCCTTTTAAAAGCAAGAACAGCTTCTCCCTATCTACTTCACCCGTGATTTTGAGAAGCTTTATTAAATCTCCTCTCGGCCTTCTTCTCTTCAGGGAGATCAGTCCCAACCTCTTCAATCATCCTCATATCTGAAGTTTCATTACTGGAACCATTCTTGTAAATCACTTCTGCACTCTCTCCAATGCATTTCTCCCAATAATGAGGTGCCCCCACTATATACAATACTCCAGCTGAGTTCTAACAAATGTCTTGTACAAGTTCAATATCACCTCCTTGCCCTTGTACTCTATGCCCTTACTAGTAAAGTCTGCTTTATTAATTGCTGTCTCTACCTGTCCAGCCACTTTCAATGAAAATGAGTGATAATTCCCCTTCATAGTCCTCTCGCTGCTCACTAGTGAATATCTCAACTCAATGTTTATAACTAAGTTGAAAACTATGACTTTTTGTCTTGAAGTTGAGAAAGGCCTGGTTTACATCTCTCAATTTTTAAAGATCTCTTGCTGAAACCCACATTCTCAGGGCTTGGGAAGATTCCACCCAGTGTCTAATTTACTGCTGTAACTTCTTCTCGATTGCTACGAATTACGTCTTGTTCAAGAAAAGGGTATGTTCTCATTAAGATACACTCATGGTTTTCCACTATGACTGAAATCCAAGTAGGCCCTTTTACCCTGTCAATCAAAGAGGACGGTGATGGCAAACTACCCTAATCACATGCTGATAGTGGTTGGATCCCCCCAAGTACAACTTATTTTATGCTTATTTAGTGTTAACTATAGACACAGTCCAGACTTATGCCATTTATTCACACAAATATTGAAAACACTATACAGAAATTTGCTCTGTTCGGTGTATAAATAGTGTTGTTAACTGGCTCACTAATGTCCTTTCAGGAAGGAAATCTGCCACCCTTACCTGGTCTGGCCTACATGTGACTCCAGACACACAGCAATGTGGTTGACTCTGAAGTGTCCTCTAGGCAATTAGGGATGGGCAATGAATGCTGACCGAGCCAGCGATGCCCATCTCCTGTGAATTAATATTTTTAAAATTTTATTCTTCTGATGATTAAATCTACTATTTGAACCTTCAGCAAACATCTTTGATCAAAGGAAAATCTTTTGCACAGATCACAATTTTACCAAATACACCAGCAAGTGAATTCTACACTGGAGCTAAGCTAATGTATTAAAGTTGATAGTACCCCATCACACAGATATTTCAGCAAGTCCAGTATTTGGATGTTGTTCCTTGAGGAACAGTATCTCGACCTTCATACGCTGTTAAAGATATTATTGATTCATGCGCTCTTTGTGAAGTAGAAAAGTCTTAACTGCTGTCAACTTGTTATGGATAGTCACTATATAAAAAATTTTATGTAATTCCAACAACGTTGGGGAGGTGATGGCCTAGTGGTATTATCGTTGAACGGTTAATCCAGAGACCCAGATAATGTTCTGGGGACCTGGGTTCGAATCCTGCCACGGCAGATGGTGGAATTTGAATTCAACAGAATATCTGGAATTAAGAATCTAATGATGACCATGAATCCATTGTCAATTGTCAGGAAAAACCCATCTGGTTCACTAACGTCCTTTAGGGAGGGAAACTGCGATCATTACCTGGTCTGCCTGACATGTGATTCCAGACCCAAAGCAATGTGGTTGACTTTGAACAATTAGGGATGGGCAATAAATGCTGCCTAGCCAGCAATGCCCTCATCCCATTAATGAATAACAAAAAACATTCATGGTTTCTTTTTGGACAAACAGTTCTACGTAGGGATTAGTGTTGTCTTTTTCTTACCCTTTGTGACAGTGAAGAGTATAAGGTAAATTTAGTGATGCCAATGTTTTAAGTTACTATGTGCCTATCAAATTTTAAAAACGATGAGAACAAATGTAAATTGGACAACTTTACAAAAGTTTGTATTTCAGATTCAGGTTAAAGGTAACTCAACACACTTCAATTACAAGTGCAACAGTATAATTACGACAGCCATCAACATATTGTCGATTGCTCTGTTCACAAGCTTGCAGAAATATCTTAGTTGACTTTAACAAGTTTAGCTCTTTTGTAATTCCAGTTACGATGGAATCCAAAACGTTGATATTAATATTAGTATTTGATGGATCATGACCCAGGTTCAACTACAGGAAAGAAAATTCAACTTTAAATTGTTGAGAGAATCTGTATTTGTATAATTTAAAAAATGTTGACAATAACTTTTAAGAGTTTATATCAATTGTAAACTGATCAATTAAGATTTTTAATAATATCTGGTCCGTGCATATATTTGATCTGAAAACCTCAGCAACAGGAAGTAAGTTAAAATTCAGAAGTTAAAATAAACCAAAGAACAGTGGATACTGGAAATCCGAAACTAACACAGAAATTTCTGGAGAGACTTAAAAGGTCTGGCAGCATCTGAGGGGAGAAAACAGAGTTAACTTTTTGATTCTAGTGACTCTTTAAAACGTTCACTCTGTCTTTGCTCTACAGATGCTGCCAGACCAGCTGAGTTTCTCCAGCAATTTCTGTTTTTGTAACATTCAGAGGCTGGGTGGTTGGGATGAGAATAGAGGAAAGGGAAAAGTTGGAGAGAGGAGGAACTTTAGAGCTAAAAATATTTGCCATTCATGTGAATGGATTGCTTGGGAACACTGTGAAATACCACTCATTCTACTTACTACTCCAAGTGTGATTTATTGTTTGAACCAACTGTAATTTACCTGTTGCTTTATGATATTTATAGTGGAACCTTTAGATGGAACACTGAAATCCTCATCTCTCAGATGAAAACCATCCTTGCGGGTGACCTGCTGTTTCCCTGCTTTCCATTAACCCTTGGACTCAGGCATTGCCCAGCCTTCTGATCTTGATAGCCTTGGCATCTTGTCATTTCACCTCATGAATGATTATGTTGCATTCATTGAATTGAATAAATCAATTTTCCTCAAATGAAACCAGATTTTATTATTATTCCAATACAGTATATTTGAACAATACAGTCATTGTGTTGTATATGATTTGTAGTGTTTTACTTATTATGCTGATGCAATATGAAGAGATTATTTACAGTACAAATGCAGCTGATCCTCTTCACATAGAAGTGACTTTTCATATGTTCTTAAAAAGTATAATGCAACTAAATATCTGTGGTCTATCTATAACAGTGGGCAAAACAATACTGGCATTAACTTGGTTGAATCCAAGCTATGTCATAGCAGAAGACGTAAATTATTTAGAGTTCTGCTGTTTGTGGCTAAACAACAATCAGCACGATAAGGGAATATACTACAACTTGCCAATGAATAATTACATTTCACAACTCTAAAAATGCTACTGTATAATCAGTAGATCTTTGATGACTTTAAAGACAGCAATGCTTTGACTCACCACCCTTCCTGCTTGAGGTTCAATCTACTCCGGAAAAATGAAGCAGTTATTGTGAACAGCTCACATCACATGAGAAGTGAGAAACAGTGCTTCTGCTACTAATCTAAAGAAGCTAAAGTCTATACATTCAGATTCACATAAATATGATCTTTGGTTGTTAGTGTCCAATGTTTTCATTGGAGCAACAGCAAAGATATGAGTTTGCATGTAAACACTCAGGCATTACAAGGGAAAAACCAACAAAATATTATGATTCCTCTGCAACATGTATGTTTCAATATAATCACTTCACCCATGTGTTTTATCATTGAACTACTGAAATGCATTTAAGGATCTACTCATCTTTAGACAGTCAATTTGATTTCTAAAGTGCTTACAACTTTTCACTTTCTTTTATAGAATCCCTACAGTGTGGAAACAGGCCCGTTGGCCCAATAAGTCCACACTAACCCTCAGGTCATCCCACCCAGACCCATCCTTATAATCCACCTAATCTACACATCCCTGACCACTATGGGCAATCCATCTAGCCTGCACATTTTTGGACTATGGGAGGAAACAAGAGCACCTGGAGGAAACCCACACAGACACAGGGAGAATATGCAAACTCCATACAGACAGTTACCTGGTGGAATTGAAACCAGGTCCCTGGTGCTGTAAGGCAGCAGTGCTAACCACTGAGCCACCAGGCTGTCTGGCTCCTTAGCTACAAGTTAATGTTTTGATCTACAGATGCGTATATCAAAATATTATAAAATTAAGCCAAGCTATATGTTATGATAATTTAGTTTAATCTGATGCACAGTGGAAGACCAGTTAGCCCAGTTAGCTCAGCTGGTTATACAACTACTGTAAGGATCAGAAAAATACCAACAGCCTGTGGTTTGATCCTATTCCAGTTGAGGTAAACAATTCGATGTCACAAAAAGAAACCCTGTCACACGACACCATTAAAAACTGAATGCACAGCCACAGCAGTGGTGCGTTATTTGTCTAATTTAATTCAAGCTCGTACTTATTAAATATGGTACAAAATGACAGAAGTAAATAACCAAAGGAACTGATCCCATAAGGATAACTCTGACCACAGATAATATGCTCATTTAAACAGATTTTCTTCTCTTCCCAAATACATTGGTAATAATCTTGGCCATTGACTTGGGCCCACTGTACCTCCTCTTATCTGCCTTGTTCTTCAGGCTGTCTCCAACAGCATGAATCAGTTTCAGGAACAGACTGAATATCTCATGGTAATGTTCTGCTGCTGATACCTCCTGGAAGTGGCACTTGTGGTTAATGGTAAACAGACAGCCTTCTTCATGAATCTCCCCGGCATGACACACGTTTATTGCCAACAAGGCTAATCATGACCTCTATGTCACTAGAATATTGGAAAACTATTTATCTTGTTTATGACATTGCTATACATGTAAGATTAATCTCAGTTACAGTTCTACAATTCCAGAGATTTAGCTTCAAGTCCTCATGTCAGGGAACTGAGGCTTCCCTGAAGAAAATCTTTAGGAATCATGATTGAATGAAGTTCTAAAATTACCTAATCCCCAGTCTATAATCAGGGAAATAATTTAGACTGGTCTGCCCAAGGGCATGCTGCAATTTGGCCTGTACATTAAGCAGGAAAATAAATTAGCTATTTTTCCTATTGCTGACTGCCATCCAGAAACTCCTTTTGAAAAACACCTGACTGTAAAAGCCAGAGGATCAAATTAGTCTTGGTGTGATGACCTTCGGTTGTCCAGTGACCATTCATTGTCCATGGTCACACACATAGCATGGCAATGAACTGGTTGATTTTCGTAGTAATAATTTCCCCATCAGCATGTCTCAGTGTCAAGAGAGAAAGCAAGAAAATTAAAAAGACATAAATTCTCCAGCTACTATATAATAGATATCAGAAAACCCAGTACAAGCTGACTTTCAGTACTGGAGAATTGGCTAAAACACTTTGTAATTTACCTCAAACATCAGGTTTCGTTCAGATCTAGTTTAGGCTAAATGAACAATACAAACATTTCACACTTCTCCTTGATTCATGTCTGCAGGACTGTGCTTGTGTTCCACTTCTATCTATCCTGGATCTTTTCAGGAGCCAGGAAGAAGTTACAAAGCAGGACCCCAAAGTAAGTAATGTAGGGATTACTCCTAGCACCATGCACAAGTGTTCATAGGAGCAGTAGGAGAAAACGGGTTAACATATGATTACACAGGGACATTGAAGCTAGTTCAAGGGGCAGGAAGACCTATATAAGATGGGAAGGTTCATCTCAACAGGGCTGGGACTAATGCTCAGACAGGGAGATTTACTGCAGTGGGTTTGGTGTTTAAAGCAATTTGTCTGGGGCAAAAACATCGTAATAACATATTAAAAATAGGATATAGGATGTGCGGAGGACTGGGAGAACCAAACAGAGTCAAAATAATGTAACTCAGAAATAGGAAACAGAGAGGGAAACGTAAGATAGACTAAGTTGGATCTAGAGGTCATGCATATAAATCCATGGAGTGTGGTAAATAAGATTTCTGAAACACACAAACTAATGTTATAGTGGCAATAACTTAGATGTGGGAGATGGGAGAGATACTAAATGAATATTTTGCATCAGTATTTACTTTGGAGAAAGGTATGGAAGCTAGGAAATTCAGAGAAATAATTATTGATGTCTTGAAAACAGTCCACATTACAGAAGAGTAGGTGCTGGAGGTCGTTAAAAGCATAAAGGTAGATAAATCTCCAGGACCTGATTAATGGGCTGAAAAATGGCAGATGGAGTTCAATCTGGATAAATGCGAGCTGTTGCATTTTGGTACAACAAACAATGGTAAGGCTTATACAATTAATGGTAGGGCCTAGGGTAGCATTTTAGAACAAGGGACCTAGGAGTCAGGTACATAATTCTTTAACATTTGTGTCCCACATAGACAGGATGGTTAAAAAGGTGTTTGGCACGTTTTCCTTCATCGCACATTCCTTTGAGTATAGAAGTTGGGATGTTATGCCGAGGTTGTACAGGATATTGGTGAGGCCTCTTCTGGAGTACTGTGTCCAGTTCTGGCCACTGAGTTATAGGAAGGATATTATCAAGCTGGACAGGGTTCAGAAGAGATTTACCAGAATGTTGCTAGGTATGGAAGGTTTGAATTTTAAAGAAAGGCTGGAGAGGCTGGGACTTTTTTTCAATGGAGCATAGGAAGTTGAGAGGTGACCTAATAGAAGTGTATAAGGTAATGAGAGGTGGAGATAAGATTGATGGCAGTTATCTTTTCCCTAAGATGGGGGATTTCAAGACTAAGGGGACACATATTTAGGGTGAGAGGAGAGAGATTTTAAAAAAAGACATGAGGCAATTTTTTTACACAGAGGATGGTTTGCATGTGGAATGAACTTCCTGAGGAAGTGGTGGATGCGGGCACAATTACAACATTTAAAAGACATTTGGATGGATATATGAATAGGGAATGTTTGGAGAGATATGGGCCAAGAGCAGGCAGGTGGAATTAGTTTAGTTTGGTATTATGTTTGACATGGACTGGTTGGACCGAAGGGTTTGTTTCTGTGCTGGATGATTCTATGACTCTATAAATGTATGCCAGGACATTGTGGAAAGCTAGGAAGAAGTTGTGGGCCCCTAGCAGAGACATTTGTATCATCTACAGCCATGGATTAGGAGCCGGAAGGCTGGGGTGTGGCTAACGTGTGCCTTTGTTTAAGAAGAGATACAAGAAGAAGCCTGGGAAATAATAGAACAGTGAGTCTGACATCAGTGGTAGGTAGGTTTTTGGACAGGATTTTGAGAGACAGGATTTACATGGATCTGAAGAGGCAAGAACTTATTAGAGATAGTCAGCATGGCTTTGTGCATGGGAAATCGTGTCTTACAAACTTGATTGAGTTTTTTGAGGATGTGTCTAAGAAGATAGAAGAGGCAGAGTGGTAGACATTGTCTACATGGATTTTAGCAAGGCGTTTGACAAGATTCCACATGGTACACTGGTTAGTAAAGTTAGATCACATGGGATTCAGGGAGAGCTTGCCAGTTGGATACCAAATTGGCTTGAAAGTAGGAAACAGAGGGTGGTGGTAGAGAGTTGTTTTTTGGACTGGAGGCCTGTGACCACCGGTGTTCCACAGGGATTGATACTGGGTCTACTGTCAATTGTGATTTATATAAATGACTTGGATAAGAGTATAGGAAGCATGGTTAGAAAATTTGTGGATGACACCAAAATTGATGGTATAATAGGCAGTGTAGAAGGTTATCTGAAAGTACAAAGTGATTTTGATAAACTGGACCAATAACCCAAGGAGTGGCAAATGGTGAGGTGTTGCATTTTGGTAAGACAAACAAGGGCAGGCATTAATGGTAGGGCACAGGGAGTGTTGTTGAACAGAGAGACCTAGGGGGTTCAGAGACATAGTTTCTTGAAAGTTGCAGCACAGGTAGACAGGTTGGTAAAGAAGGCATTTGGCATACTTGCCTTCATTGCTCAGACCATTGAGTAAAGGAGTTGGGATGTCAAGTTGAGGTTGTACAGGACATTGGTAAGGCCACTTTGGGAGTACTGTGTGCAGTTCTAGTTGCCCTACTATCGGAAAGATATTATTAAAGTGGAGAGAGTGCAGAAAATATTTGCCAGGATGTTAATGGGACTGGAGGGTTTAAATTGTAGGGAGAGGCTGGATAGGTTGGGACTATTTTCCCTGGAGTGGAGGAGGTTGAGGGGTGACCTTATAGAGATTTATAAAATCATGACAGGCATAGATAGGATGAAAAGCAAAGGTCTTTTCCCAAGGGCAGGGGAATTCAAAACTGGGTAGCATAATTTCAAGTGAGACCAGAAAAATTTAAAAAGGACCTGAGGGGCAACTTTTCCACACAGACGGTGGTTCATATGTGGAATGAAACTGCCAGAGGAAGTAGTAGATGCAGGTATAGTGACAACATTTCAAAGACATTTGGACACGTAGTTGAATAGGAAAGGTTTAGAGGGACATGGGCCAAACAGAGGTATATCAGAGGCTGAGAGGTGACCTTATATAAGTTTATAAAATCATGAAGGGCATGGATAGAATGAACAGCCGAGGTCTTCTCCCCAGGGTAGGAGAGTCCAAAGCTAGACGACATAGGTTTAAGGAGAGAGGGGAAAGATTTAAAAGGGACCTAAGGGGCAACTTTTTCACGCAGAGGGTGGTGCATGTATGGAATGTGCTACCGGAGGAGGTGGTGGTGGCTGGTCCAATTGCAACATTTAATAGGCATCTGGATGGGTACATGAATAGGAAAAGTTTAGAGGGATATGGGCCAATGTTGGCAATAGGGACTAGACTAATTTAGGATATCTGGTTGGCATGGATGAGTTGGACTGTAAGCTCTGTTCCTAAGAAGTACATCTCTATGACACTATGAATGGACACTTCACTTTCCTGGATTGAAGGTATTCAGGAAAATAAAGGAAGAAAATAAAGAAAAACTTAGCACACCAGCATTGCTCAGAACATTACTGCAGTATTTGAGAAAGATGTACTTTTGAGTCCAAAAAGAGTCTATTCTATTAACATTAAGGAACAATGGAGGAAATATTATGCTTCACAAATAATTTGAAGGAGGTGAAGGTGCAAATTTACAGACAAACTGCAGAGAAATGGATGAACTTTATAATTGCGATGATGGGAACTTCAAGCATTTTAGTATAGAGAAGGTTTACCTATGGACCGGACATTTTCCCACAAGAAGGAAAGGAAAAGCTTCTAAAGTTAAAACTTTCTTAGTGACTAAAGATATAGACATTGAAAAAACAACAGATAAAGGAAATTCATGATAAATGCTCATTGTGCAGTTCAGTTTAATAAAACCGTTGGGTACTCAGTACCTTTAAGTAAACCTTTAAGGTATAGGCTCATGATATCATCACAGTATCATAGCATGTGATCTGAGGGTATAAAGATCTCAGACTTCATCTTAACTGGGTCCACTTAAAGCATGGGACATGGATGGAAGCATGTTACCCTTTATAACTGAGCAGCTTAGACATCCATGTGCCTATAAATGTAATATTTGTATATATTACTGAACTCCAATAAACATCTGTTGAATCTTTCAAAACCAGATTAAACAAATCCTAGTTGCTTATATTGTGAGGGATAACATAAGCATTCCACATCAGGTAAATATTCCCTGTTGGAGGCAAATGTACATGATAAAAGTAGCTGAATATGAACCTAGAAAAGAGAATTGGAAAAGAAAATTAAGAAAGGCAAAGAAAGAAAGATTTTCATGGCTACCAGATATCTCAAAGTGCTTTACAGCCAATGAAGTATTTTCTGAAATATAATGTAGTCACTGTTGTAAAGCAGGAAATGCAGCTGCTAATTTACACTTAGCAAACACCCATAAACATCAAAATAATAATGACCAAATAATCTATTTTTATGGTATTGGTTGAGAGATAAATATTGAATAGGAAGCCAAGCAGTTGGGGACCTTGGTTTAAAATCTTATCAGAGTGATGGAACATCCAATGGTGCATGCAATTTCTGTATTGCACTAGAGTGTCAAGCCCTACAGGCAAAACTGCTACCAACTGAGCTATGGATGACAATGTTAAAAGAGTATGAGTAAAAGCTTCCTGGGTAACAGAAAAGGAAGCCTGAAAGTCTTTTATAATTATAAAATTAAAAAGGTAGTCTAAGAAAGGTGAGGGTAATTACAAGACAATAAAAAGATCTTTTTATGGGCACAGGGGACATTTTTGAGGTACTAAATGAGCATTTTAAATTGCACTTCACAAGAGAAGTGGATGTTGTCAATGTTACTGTAAAGAAAATAGTAACCCAATACAAAGAGCTAAAGAGCAGATATTCAAATGGCTAGCAGCACTCAGAGAAGTCATCTGGTATGATGGTATGTACCCAGGCTGCACAGAAAAGTAAGGAAGAGAACTGTGAAGTGTCTGACCACAATCTACCAATTGTTCTTCAATAAAAGGATGGTGCCAGAAGACTCGAGGATTGCAAATGTTACACCCCCATATAATACATGGGACATGAATAAACACAGCAATTACAAGTCAATTAGTCTGCTGGACATGAAGAAACTTTTGTATATGGTAATCTAGAAAAAAATTAACTAGCACTTGGAAAAGTATGGATTATAAAATGAAAACCATCATGGATTTGTTAAAAGCAAATTCTGTTTGAAAAATATGCTGAAATCTTTGATGAAGCAACATGGAGTGTGGGTGATTACGATATGTCATGATGCTGTGAATATGGGCTTTTGAAAGGCATTTGATGAAGTACCATATGATAGTCATGTTAATAAAACTAAAGGCAATGAGATTAATGTCATAGAGTCATAGAATCATACAGGACGGAAATAGACCCTTCAGTTCAATTTATCCATGCCAACCACATTTCCCATTCAAGTAATCCAACCTGCCTGAATTTGCCTGTGGATACAAAATTGTCTAAGGGTCAGAAAACAGAGAAATGGTGAATAGCCACCTGTCAGATTGGAGAGAAGAAGCCAACAATAGTGCCAGAGGTCAATGGTGGGACCACAACTCCATTTGATACATATTAACTTGGATAAGAATTTACAGAGCACAGTTTCACCATTTGTAAAAGTCCAAAGTCTGAAATGTAGTAAATAGTGATTTGGGAGAGCATAGATTGAAAACATGGGCAGAAATGTGGTGCACAAAATTCAACATGGCTAAATGTGAAGTAATACATTTTGATCAGAACACAAAGAAAAGGTGATTTAATCTAAATAGTACAATCTTAAAGTGGGTGCCAGAACTGAACATCCCAGGGATGAATGTACACAAGTTCTTATAAGCAGCAGGGCAAGTGGTGACACTGTTACAAAAGCATAGGGCAGCAGAAAATTCCACAGCAAGGAACTGTGGGGATAATCTCTGGCATCAGCTCCCGCCCCCAATTGGGCGAGGTAGCTAGAAATCAGGTTTGGGCAGACTGAAGACTTTCTTGAGCAATAATGCCCTGCAGTTTTAACTAGCTTGAATTAACTACACTTGAATTATCTTTACTGGGTTTTGCATCCAACAACCATTCAGATTGATATTTTTGACTGCTAGCTGTACTGGGAAGGCTGTAGCTGGGAGGTTTAGTAACATTGAAGAAGGGAACTTTCAGGTCATTGTGTAGTTCATCAGTGAGAGGGAAAACTGGCAATAGCCTTAATAAAATTTCAAACACATAGGATGTGAATCTACCGCTGATTCTTTATCAGTGCAGAATTAGAATCACAGAATAATAGGATAATATAGCATAGTTAGAGGCCATCCAACCCATCATGCCTGTAACAGCACTTTGAAACGGATAACCTATTAATTTCAGTCTTCTTTTCTTTACACTATTCACAGTCTTCCACAATTTTTTTTCCTTTCAAGTATTTATCCATTTCCCTTTTGAAAGTTATTTTGCATCAGCTTCCACCTTCCTTTCAAGTCAGATCAGAATTCCAGATTAAAGTATTCACTGCGTAATTATTTTGATCTCACATCACCTCTTGTTCTTTTGGCAGTTATCTTAGATGTGCATCTTTTGATTACCAGCCTCTTTATCACTAGAACAGTAACAACTTGCTTACTTTGTTAAAATCCCGCAAGATTTTGAACATCTCTTTGAAATCATCTCTTAACCTTCTGGACTCAAAGAAAAACAATTAAGTTTCCATCGTCTCGACTCTTGACTGGACCTTTCTTCCCAGGTACCATATGCAAACCTCCTCTCCACCTTCTCTTAGGCTTTGACATCATGCCCAAAGACTGGTGCCTAGAGTTGAATATAATACTCTAGCTGAGACCTAATTAGTGTTTTACAAAGATTTAGCATAACGTCCTTGCTTTAGTGTACTATGGTGTTATTTTTAGTTCCCCAAAACTTCTGGGTTAAGTGGAAAGTTAAAATACCTAAAATCTCAAACACAACCATGATTAGCCCCTTTCTGATTTCAACAAAAATGAAAAAGGAGTGGGATGTTCACTTTCAGGATGTGGGTCACTTATTGAAAGCTTTTTAGATGGCTGTGGGCTGCATTTTAACAGAGTTTCCATTTTCAACTACTTTCCTTGGATTTCTTAAGCATTTTCGAACTAGGCATTTATAATGAGCTAAGAAGGACTTTACGTGAAGTGACTGCCTTTATAGCACTGTCAATAGTTTAGAACAGCCAGGAGTATTGCATGCAATTCTGGTCTCCCTCCTATAGGAAGGATATTGTGAAACTTGAAAGGGTTCAGAAAAGATTTACAAGGATGTTACCAGGGTTGGAGGATTAGAGCCAAAGGGAGATGCTGCATAGGCTGGGTCTATTTTCCCTGGGGTGCCAGAGGCTGAGGGATGACCTTATAGAGGTTTATAAAATCATGAGGGGCATGGATGGTGTAAATAGGCAAGGTTTAAGGTTCTTGCGAGGATTTGTAGCTCACATTGTGGATGATGTTGTTGGTTTGCTCATCAAGCTGGTTGATTATCGTACAAACATTTCATCACCATGCTAGGTAACATGATCAGTGCGGCCTCCAATGAAGCAATGCTGTTCTACTCCACTTGGAATTTATATGATTCAATCTGTTAAGTTGGTTTATGTCATTTCCAGTTCTTTTTTGCATGGGTTTTTATATGGGTCTAATTCCACATGTTTGTTGATCACATTACGAGTTGAAAACCAGGCCGTTAGGAATTCCCATGTGTGTCTGTGGTTGGCATGAGCTAGGATGGTCATATTGTCCCAGTTAAATTGATGGCCTTCATTTTCTGAGTACAATCAAATGAGGGAAAGTTTGTTGTGTTGTTTTGCTGCTAGCTGGTGTTCGTGTATCCCAATAGCTAGTTTCCTTCCGGTCTGGCCGATGTAATGTTTGCTGCAATCATTGTGAGGTATTTATGTAAACTATGTTAGTCTTGCATGTCTGGGGTCTATGGTTCTTGTGAGTGTTTGTCATAGTGTGGCTGTGGGCTTGTGTGCTACCAGGACTCCTAGTGGTTATAGGAGTCTCGTTGTCAGTTCTGATATGTTCTTGATATAGGTTGGGTGTGACCAGTGTCTTGGGGTGTACTGTGTCCTTTTGGCATTATCTAACAAGTAGGCATCTGCGGATGAAGTTTTTGGGATGTCCGTTGTTAGCAAATACCATGGGGTGGGGAATCCAAAACTAGGTTTAAGATGAGAGGGGAAACATATGAAAGGGATCTAAGAAACAACTTTTTCACGTAGGAGGTGGTGCGTGTATGGAATGAGCTGCCAGAGGAAGTGGTGGAGACTGGTACGATTAAACATTTAAAAGGCGTCTGGATGGGTACATGAATAGGGTTTAGAGGAACTTGGGCCAAATGCTGGCAAATGGCACTAGACCATAAGATATCTGGTCGGCATGGATGAGTTAGACCAAAGTGCCTGTTTCCGTGCTATATATCTCTATGACTTTGTAACTTTATGAGTGTTTTACAGACTTCACCTGGTCCAACAAGCTAATTCAATGAGGTACCCTAGTTCCACATCTCTGCAGGATTACCTTGTGAACAATGGTCCCTATCACTCCTTAGCTGCAATGTGCTTCCATTCCCTTCTTATAATCTGTCCTTCTCAGAAACCCCTCTAATTAGATTAACCCAATTAATTCCCACCCATTCAAGCACCGTGCACATATCAACACTTACTGCATATGCAGGGCCACACAAAATAAACTAACGGATCCTACTTTGAACAAATCTCCAACATACTTTACAAAATAATTCAAAAATGCATTAGCTTATGCTATAAAATTTCCACAAAGCATGTGTTACCTTTTGCACTGTTCCATTCGTGCTTAATCTGATGAACAGCAGTTTTGACAGTCTGGAAAGAAGCTTGATCATTGATATTATAAACCTCAATAAAACTATTGGCCCACTCCACTGGTTCAAACATGGGATATTGATTTTCATTTGTCTGCTAAAAGACAAAGGATAATTATGTATTATACTATGACATTTACTCATGGTGCAAAAGTTTAAATTAACAAAACTAAAATGTAAAATACACAGTGACTATTCAGCTAGGAAATTTTGATATTATTGCAATAAGTGAAAACATACAAAAAATAAGTATTCTTAGCTGAAAAATTTAAGGAAATAAACATCTTGCCTTGACAGTGCAGTAGTCATGTGTTATGTAGCAGTAACCTTTTTGAATGACTTGATCCCATGTTATAGGACAAAGTGTGATCACTTGGTAATAGAGAGTTTCTGAGCTGCAGTGGACCTGACACAGTGCTGACAGGATTGTATTAGCAGTCCCACATTGCCTTCACACAAGTCAAAACATTTAGCACAGGTAAGGAGTCACAGTGTGAGTTACCAGTAGCCTGTCAAGGCCAATAGCTTTCTGTACCATTAGTCTATTGCTAAAGACTGTTCAATGTAATTTCCAGAGGTGAGGAACAGCATAGCAGAAGTTGGGTGGTCTTGTGTAGTTGAAGAAAAACAGTGGAAGGGAGAGGAGGGTGAATGTTACACAGAGAATCATCCACCATCAGATTCTGTGATATCAGTAACTGTTGCAACCAGTGAAAACCCAGGCTACACCAAATTCTTCTTGTTCAAGGAAAACTTTCTCAACTATCTCATTGATTGGTGTATTTACTGGGTTTATCAAGATAACAGCAATATTTCAAATTCTGCCTCACTCTCTTTTCTACTTATTAAATAAAATTGTAAACAAAGGCAGTAGCAGGGTGGCCCAATATATAGCACTGCTGCCTCACAACATCAGGGACCCAGGTTCGATTCCAGCCTTGGGAGGTTGGAGTTTGCATGTTCTCCCTGTCTGCGTGGGTTTCCTCTGGGTGCTCCAGTTTCCTCCCACAGTCCATAGGTACGCAGGTTAGGTGGACTGGCCATGTTAATTTGCCCATAGTGTCTGCAATGTGAAGACTGAGTGGATTAGCCATGGCAAATGTGGGGTTAGGAGACAGGGTAGGGATATGGGCGTGAGTGAGATGCTCTTCAGAGGGTCAGTGTGGAGTCAATGGGCCAAATGGCCCCTTTCTGCAATGTAGGGATTCTATTCAGAATACAACAAATGATATTCAGAGTCACTCACTGCAGATGAAGGCTGTGACCTCAAGCTGTCACCTGGAAGTACAATTCTATCCAGTTGCAACCAAGAAGAAAATACACTTCAAAAGAAGCCCTGTAACTAGGGAAATCTCTTGAAGATTTATTCAGAGGTTAGGTCTAAAGTAAGTCGTCACCAGCAGAGGTAATCTCATTTATACAAGTCCAAACTCAGTATCTGGGATTTTAGCTCATTAACCCTAGGTCCCCATATTTCAAAATGAAACTCCCTAGAAAATAAGCAGACACGCTACAGGGAGCTCCAGACCTATTTGCACGTTACTGCTCAGTTGGCTGGACAGCTGGTTCGTGACAAAGAGTGATGTCAACAGCACAGGTTCGACTCCCACACTGGCTAAAGTCACCATGAGGGTCCTACCTTGATCCTTGCACAGGTTAAACCACTACCAGGTGTTTCTCTCTAATGGGACAACAGCCCAATAGTCCTCTGGACAATAGATACTTCACCAGTACACTGTTGCCATTACAGGATGGAAACAGGGCTGGAACCCATTGTTGAAATTGCCAGTGCTCAGTAATACTGCCCAGAAACATTACAATCAACAATGTCATGAGCATAGTCTTCATCAACAAGAACACCACTCACTGTGCCTTCAACACCTTACACATAAACACAGTAACATCTTGTCAATAAAAATAACAACGATCCAATCGTATAGAAAAAATAATGTGAGGCCTTTAACTTTCTGGTATTAAAAATAACGTGAATTTCATGTTCAAAGTGAAGTATATCCATGCTGGGCAATGGAAGGCTTCAAATGCAGGCAACAAGTCCTCACAGATCTGGCTTCGCTGGTCTAAATGCTGAATAAAGCTCACTCTACCGCTCTGTACTGAGCCTGTTAATTCTTATTTTCAGCAGCATTCATCCCAGCGTTGCTATAAGTGGCATTGTCAATGAAGTATCAGTTAGTGTCAAATTTTGATGAGCTTTATGTCGCAGGAACTTCGAAAAGGATTTTGTACTCATTCACACATCCACTTCCCGAATATCACTGGACAGAGATGAAGGGTAGGAGTCAGGCTTATTCCTCCACCCAGTCTAAGGGATACCGAAGTCAACTACAGCAATGCAACTCATACCTGAGATCAGCTGACAAATGCCTTCTTTTAATAGAACTGCACAAATACAGTATTTAATGAACTTGCTCTGGTATTTAGAGACAGAACAGACTGCAGATGCTGGAAGCTAGAGTCAAAAAATGTGGAGATGGAAAGGCACAACAGGTCAGACAGCATCCGAGGAGCAGGAAAGTTAACGTTTCGGGTCAGAATCTTTCTTCAGGACTGGGGAGGGGGAGGGGGAGGGAAGCCCAGAAATAAATAGAGGGAGGGGGCGTGGGGCAGAGATTTAGAATCCCTACAGTGTGGAAACAGGCCCTTCGGCCCAACAAGTCCACACCAAACCTCAGTGCATCCCACCCAGACCCATCCCCCTATAGCCCACCTAAGCTACACATCCCTGAACACTATGGGCAATTTAGCATGGCCAATCCACCTAACCTGCACATCTTTGGACTGTGGGAGGAAACCGGAGCACCCGGAGGAAACCCACGCAGACATGGGGAGAACGTGCAAACTCCACACAGACAGACACCCGAGGCTAGAATCGAACCTGGGTCCCTGGTGCTGTGAGGCAGCAGCGCTAACCACTGTGCCACCGTGCCGCCAAAGGCGACGGTGAGGGGAAGGTAAGTGAGATGGAGATAGTGGATGCAGGTAGGGGGTTATAGCGGTTGGTCAGTGGGAAGGGTGGAGCAGATAGGTGAGTGGGAAGATGGACAGGTTGGGGGGTTGCGGAGAGATTTTGAAGCTGGTGAAGTCAATATTCAGGACATTGGGCAGTAAGCTCCCAAGGTGAAATATCAGGTGTTCCTCCAGTTTACATTTGGCCTCACACTGACAGTGGAGGAGACCAAAGATGGACATGTCATCAGCAGAGTGAGAGGGAGATTTAAAGTAGATGGCAACCGGAAGGTCAGGCTGGTTGGTGCATGCAGAGTAGAGATGCTCCACAACTAGTCCCCAGGTCTGCATTTGGTCTCCCCAGTGTACCACATCAGCAGACCATATCAGGAGCAACAGATACAGTAGATGAAGTGCAGGTGAATCTCTGCCAGATTTGGAAGGAATCTGAATATTGACTTTACCAGCTTTAAGATCTGCCCTCCCCCCACCTATCTATCTTCTGACTCACCTATCCGCTCCAATCTATCTCAACTTGGCTGACCATAATCAGTCAGCAATTGGCCCAAGAGCCCCCGAAGAGAACGGAAGTGAGGATTTCCATTTCTGATCTCTACCCATCCACTCCTGCATGAACCATGAGTGAAATAAATGGGTAGGATAAGATTGTGCTCGGCTGCGATATGTTCTCTCCTCACTTGCAAGTCTTCAGTCTGCCAATAGGGTCAAGACACACACTTCATAAATTAAAGTTGGCTAAGACACCAGACAGCAAGTAATTTGGAGTCTTTCCCAGTAAATGAAAGCCATCATTGACTGAAAGGAGATAAAACATTTCAACTGTCAGAAGTACATAATTGTACGCTCAAGAAAAAAATGATAAAAATGCTTAAATCAATAAAATATTAATGATGAACTAATGTATTTTTTTAAATGTACTGGCTCACCCAGGAAGATGGTTCAAATACCTCTAAGTTCAGCTGTTGACCATCAATTATACAGGAAAACTGCAACATTTAAAATAAAAATATTACAGCAGTGAATATTATTTGTATGCTTACATAGTTTCCTACTTCCAGAAAGTGGTTGAAGTGGCATCTTTCACTTTATCAAACCTCATCACAGCTTAAAACTCCCGAAGTAGTCAATTAGCCAATATCCCTTCTGGTGATCCGGGACGTTAGAGTTGAGGCCTGTAATAGGTCAAGAAAGTTGCCCACCCTCCCTTGCCTGACAGGTCTTATATTCTGATCAGAATGCAATCTGGGCAGTGGGAGTAACATATCAGTCACCACCTAATACCTTCATCACCGACACTGTGAGAAAGAAATGGTCAGTGTACACCTTTATTCTTCAAGTTGACAACATTGACCGGGCTTATTGTATTGTATATGAAGGAAATAGGCACAAAATATTTTTGTCCGAAACTTGAAATTTACATTTTCACAAGATTCAACTGATGGACTGCATCTAAATTTTATGGGATCCTCTGAGGCAAGTGTCAGGAAGATTTTGTATTTCGACTTCCTATACTGGTAGTGCTCAAAATAACAAGAAGAAGAAGAATCAGTCCTGAAGAAGGGTAATACCCAAAACATTGACTGCTCCTTTCCTCCAGATGCTGCCTGGCCTGCTGTGTTATTCCAGCCTCCTGTTTGTCTACCATGTTCAGAAGAATCATTGGAAATACTTCAATAAATACACCCCAGCGGTTCAATGAGTAATAAAATCCTGGGTAATCATATCCAAGAACAACGTGGAATGTACAGTGCAGGAAGGGGCCACTTGGCTTAACTCATCCATGTTGATGTTTTTGGTCCATATGACCCTTCCCCCACTCTTACCGATCGAAACCCTTAAACAAAATTTTCTACTCCAAATATTCCCATGTGTTTACTTGGCTTCCCTTAAATGCATCAATGCTACTTGAAGTTCAGGATTCTAAGCACCCTCTGGGTACAGAAATTTGTCCTGAAACTTCAGCTGGATTTATTTGTGACCATCTTACTTTAATGGCCCTTAATTCTGGTACCTCTCACAAAAAGAAGTATCTGGTTGTGCTTACCCTGTTGAACCCTTTCAAGCCTATTACATGTATTATGCAAAGAAAATTGCAATATCCTGTTCACACTTTCCAATAACCATAGCCTCTCATTTCTGATATCATCCTTCTATCTTCCCTGGTGTTTTTTTTCATAATGTAATATGTACACCAGGCCTGTGTATAGTATTACAGTATAAGTATAGATGAACTAAGGGTATATATAACATTAATTTAATGTCACTGCTGTTCAATTCAATTCTTCTCGAAATAAGTGCTTTTTATGTTATAGATTTACTAATCAGTGTCACTACTTTTAGTTATTTGTGTATGCTGTAGGCCTAACTTCCTTTGACTTAGCCTTCTATTTTCCAAGGAGTATGTGGCCCCTCTTTTTTTGCTAACAAAATGCATGATACAGTTTACTGTTTCTGTGCCAAGTACTCAGAAATAAATATTGCATTATATTAAGATTTAGTGCACTCTTCAATGTGCACCACATTACATAGCCCCAAAAATATGAAAACAAA